GTAGCTGGACGGGAACTTATAGATCACTCGAAAATCTTCGCTGGAGTCCACAGGATGCCCAGAACCCATAAGATGTGTAAAAATGGCGTTGTTAATGTCCCTTAATTCTGCTCTGTCCCGGCCAGCTCTCTGTTTTCAGTATTCCAGGCATAGTACTGTAAGATTTCTTAATTCAAAAATATTGAGAAAAATGACAATCAAACCTTTTTACGTTACACTTTAGTGCATTCAAGCAGGAAAAGGTCTAAAGATGGACTTCCCGGAAAAAGGCTCTGGAACCAATGGAATTGCATCTTTTTAAATCCATAATAGGAGTGGGCCCAACGGTAGATTAGAATACGGGCCGTCTCTCATAGAGGAGTTAAGATGACTTTTTCGACGATTTTATTCCAAAGGAAAGTACCGGTGCAGCGTCAGCTGATCCCCTATCCAAGACCTACTGCGGTTCAGTGATAAATCACTGAAAGCAAGACAGGTAGGAGAGGAAAAAGGAAGCTAAAACAAAGTGTGCTTTTCTAACTTCCCCCGCGACTACCTGCGGCGTCCTTCTAGGGCAGTTACTGGCAGGGGCAGACCCAACAACCAGCGAGCAGACAGTCGCCCTACAGCACACGCTAGTGCGCATAGAGACGACGTGCTAGAAACGGACCCAGGAGATTAGAAAGACCAGGTGTGAAGGAGCTGGAAGATAAGGGGGCTGTTGTGAAAAGGTCCCAGCTAAGACGACGCACGGTGACAAGAGAATCAAAACAAGCAAGTGAGAAACGGAAATCATACGTATGATGTTCAGGCGGTGTGAGTCATGCGCTTAGGAGTGAGCAAAAGAGGATCGGCTTTACCGAAAACACCTGCAGCGGTATAAAATGAGGTAGTGTATTTGGTCTATATGAGTGGGCAATGTGGAGGAATTTGTTAAGGTATATGAGCACTCGATAGCCTGCTTTATATCACCCCTAAGATACCACAGTTGCCGTCATCTTTAAAATGTATATTTATATTGACCGAACTATGAAAAACCGAGGCGCCGCGTTATTCATATTTGGATCGATAGGAATTATTCAAAATCTGTCAAAACATTTATGAAAATTCATATTACATAGGGGACAAAGATCTAAGTTATAACATCCACTGTCAACAGTAAAATGAGAGTTGAAACTACGAGGGATGGTGAGGTGTCGCCGACATAGTAGCACAAGTAGTGGAGGCGGCAGGAGCATCGAAACAAGACGCTTATCCGCCAGAATCCTCAACTTCACTCCTAAACACATGGTCGGAGGGGACAATACGTCTTTTCTTAAACCAGTTTTCTTTCGAGCATGGGACAGATTCTAGCAAATGAAACTTGATGCTAGTGTACGTAAGAATTCGGGCAGTATTCCATGTCTCCTTGTCAGGTGCTTAAGAAAACAACTCATACGAACATATTTACAGTACAAATGAGATCTGTTCAAAAAACAGTAAAAGATTTTTCTGAGCAAAACCCCCGTATTCCAAGTTAGCGTCGAATATTTTAAGAAGTTGAGCATTCTATGAGTGGTTAAACCTTCGTAATTCTCCATGACTAAGTCTTTAGCACTTATGGAACCATTTCCAACGACTATTGTAACTAAAGATATATGAAGAATTTCAAACTTATAGCAATCCTAAGAGAGAACGCAACAATGAATGTTGTCCGAAAGGAATGCCTCCTTAAAAAAGTCTTATTTCATAGTCCACTAGTCCAGGGCACATGCCAGCTCTTCTTAACTCTGCAAACTCTGCAGAATTTTTTCAAACGCACATTCTTTATTTCGCTGTGAAGCCGGTCGAATATACATCCCCTGTACCCAATCCCAGGTCTGACGAATCCTGAAAGCACTTATTGACAGAGTAAAATGGACATCCGTATAGACACAAAATACGCACTTATTCAAACTGTACGTCAGCTTTGAAACTATGCCATGCAGGTAAGTTTCTGCAGACAAAACCGCTCTACGGGGCATGATTCTAGTTAATGAGCTGCAACTCCCTTTTTAATGCAACCCGCATGTACGCCAGTGTATGGTTCCTCTTTATGATTGATTATCAAGTGAAAAGTTGTACGTAATGATCCTGGTAGATATGTAAAAAAACCGCATAAGTGTGATCATCATTGATTGCTGGCGTTGCCAATTATAGCCCCTTCTCCACCCTAGGGTTACGGCGCTGCATCCATGTGTTTCGCTGTCATTTTATGTTCCTTAGAGCAATAAAGGTATGGCATGTA